GTTTCCAGGAGGAAATAATAATAAAGGGTTTATAAAGAAGTTTCTTTGGGGAAGTGTTGCCATGCTATCCCCCCACCCAACGCTTCCACAGAAACACTGAGAGCTTTAACTATGTTCCCTGCAGGCGGAAAGTTCAGGTCTGACTCCTACCAGGCAAGGTGAAGGCAACCTGCGGCCACAGCATTCAGCTAGCATTTGGTTCAACCTCTACAGCCAGAGGTGTCGGGACAAGGGATCTAGAGCACTCTCCCATGGACCATGTGAAAACAGCATGGGGAAAAACCTGTGTTGGAGTGGGGTCTCAGATCTTGCCCAGAGGCCCACCCATAGAGGCAAAGGGACCCCAATAGCACAAAGCTTCTTCCTGGAGAAAAGAACCTGAGCCCAGTTCTAAGCCCATTCCTTGCTTGTGTCATGAGAATGGCAAAGAGAATAATCTCCAAGAATCCACAAGGATTTCAAGAGAAGAAGGTTCAAGTTCCTGCATTGAACATTCCCAGGTCCCAAGAGCACAAAGCCATCAGTTAATAAACTTCCCTGCCATCTCCCACACCCACTCCCTTCCAGCTAGGCAGCAGAGGGACTAAAACCCTAGCAAGCTCCAGCCCTCATCCCATCATGCTAGCCTGAATCTGGAGAAAACTGGCTATGAGATCAAGCCCAGAGTTCTGATTTCTAACTCAGATGGGACATGCTATTTTTCATTGAGATTCTGTCTGAAGCCTAAAAAAGCCAAAGGTTTGTCTATTATTAATCATAAGCAGACAAATCTAATTGGGCTCAGACTTCTCCTCCAAAGCACTGATACTAACCCTTGGTAACTCATCTGGTATCTTAAAATTTTTTTCTAAATCCAAAGTCCATTCTGGGAGTCATTAAAATAGAATTGCCAAAGGTAGGCCTCAGGAAAGCATAGTAAAAAGTAAAATAATAATGAAAAGTCCCTAGTTGATTCTAATGTGCAACAAAGGATAGAATACTTCTCTGCTGGAAACAAAGACAGACTTCTCCTAGTAAGTCAGTTTTGCAGGCACTAAATAACAAATATAAAATAAAGCTCATATGATCATCACAAGATGTGCTCTTCAGTATACTAGAAAAATAAACATTACAGTTCACTAGATTTCATTCTGAAGATGAAAGTTGAATTTTATGCATGAAATATTCCCACAAACTAACCAGAGTTAAGTTCAATTCTTAAATGTGGGATTCAAAATGGCCAAGGATATCCCTGGAGTTTGAAAAAGTCCTTTCTTGAGAAAGAAAATTACTGAGAAGTAACTATCCAGGTTTTTAGTAACCAACAAATGCAGAAGGCATTGGGTCCCACTGACATCTAAAGATTGGATCGCACCTCTCCTTCATATTAACACCCTGGGTGGTCCCAGCAGTGAAGTCTAAATGACCGCAGCACCCTCGAAAGACATCATCTGGCAATCTTGGTTTGCCAGGCTTCTTTCTCTAATGGCTGCCTGACATCCTCATACTCTGTGAATGGCACCCCTGAGCCAGTGCTGGGCCAATGCTAGCTGCACCATCCTTCCTCCAAGTGGAGAGCACAGCACCAGCTACCCACGCTGTGTTTCCATACCACTTAGTAGCAAAGACAATCAGGACTGACATTAAGAAGAATCAGTCCATCTTCTCCCATGGTCACCAATTTGGTTGTAGGGAATTTTCATTTGATTTTCTTTACATTTTGATTTCTTTCAACACTCTTCATTCTCTGTTTTCAAAGATGCATTCCTAAGCAAAGTGACCATCCCTGGAAATCCATTCTAAACTGAATGAGAAGCAACTACTCTTCAAAACACCAGGTTTGCAATGTTCATTCTTCTGGTTCTGCTGCCTGCTTCCTTCTTGTGATGGTTTGGATGGGAGGTGTCCCCCAAAGGCTCACATGTGAGACAATGTAAGAAGGTTAAGAGGAGAACTGATTGGGTTGTAAGAGTCTTCACCCAATCAGTGATTTAATCCTCTGATAGGGATTAACTGAGTGGTAATGAAGTGGAAGGGTGTGGCTGGAGGAGGTAGGAACTGGGGCATGGCTTTAGGGTATATATCTGTATCTGGCAAGTGGAAACTTCTCTCCCTGCTTGCTGACCATCACGTGAGCTGCTTCCTTTTGCCACACTCTTCTGCCATGATATTCAGCCTCACCTTGAGCCCCGAGGAATGAAGCTGGTCTTCTATGGACTAAGACCTTGGAAACTGTGAGCCTTAAAATGAACTTTTCCTCCCCTAAAATTGCTCTGGTTAGATCCTTTAGTCACAGCAGGAAAAAAAAAAAAAGACTCACTAAAACACTTGTGAAACAGGAAACTTGCAATGTAATTAAAAAAATTTTTTTTAAGAATCTCATCAAAAATCCTGGAAGTAAAAGGAGATGAAACTTTTTACCAAGAAGATTTGTAAGAGCTAAACTTCTTCATCAATACTACATGATGACAGCAGAAATACTAATGGACCGTAAAGCCATACTTGACCCGTTGTCCCTAACTTCAAAAGTACTATCAGGGAAAAATTCTTTGCTTGTTATTTGTTTTTTTCTTTGGTTTTAAAGGGGGTTAAGAAGGAAAGGAGGCAATTCTAAGAATGGTCATTATCTGAATGTTATGGCTATGAATCTCATAAGTACCCACAAAGATTACATCTCAGAAGCCAAGTGAGGTCAATCTTTAATTGTTCACACTGGTTTATGGCCCACTAGGGCCATATATATCCACTATCACCCTGAGCCAAGTCTCTATCATTTCCACTTTCATTTATTATTCCTTGACAGCTGGTACTTGAACAAACAGTTAAGGAGGAAAACAAAACCCGTCTTGTCTAAAAGCAGACATTTGTATTTTAAGTATCTAATAAAAATGAATAAACGAACAAGGACAGAGAAAATATTTCATAAAATTTAGCTTAATTTTTGCTTTCTATAGGTAAATAGTTATTTCTTTTTAGAAAAATAAACTTGAGAGACTCCAAGATATTTAAATGCCTAAAAGCAATTCTTTACCATCACTAGCTAGGTAAAAATAAACAGAAATAACTGATAAAAACGAGGCCACATGGATAAGAGGAGTTTAGCTCTACCAAATATTAGCACCATATAGAAATGTTCAAAAGAAAACACATCAAAATCCCATCTAAAATAGAACCCACTGGCTTTAACTGTGCAGATATCAAAGGATGCAGACCTGCTGCTGATAGATTTTAAACTCCAGACCTTCAGCCTGAATCAAGTTTCACCCCCAACAGTTTTAAAAGGCCGTTGATGATGAAATTCAAATAAAACCTGAAGTTTAGTGAATAGTAATGTATCAGTGTCAGTTTCTTCACTGTGACAAACGTACCACAGTAACATAAGATGTTAACAATGGGAAAAACTGGGTGGGGGTTTCTGGAAATTCTCTGAACTATCTTTGCAGCTTTTTGGTAAATCTAAAATCATTAACAAATCAAAAATTTATTTAAAAACAAATTAAAAGTTATTGTCCCAGATTTAATCCTGAAGCTGTTTGTCCCACAAATGTGCAGGAAGAAACACAATAATCTAGAGATTTGCTACAGTAAACAGAGCCAAGCAGCTGAACTCCCAATTAAGAAGAAGACTGAATGGGAATGACTACAATGACCAGCGGGGTCTAGACATGGCTTGTGCATCCAAACATGGCTTGTGCTATGTGCCCTTGAAGGGCTGACTGTAAATCAAGCTTACATAATTCCAACCACATTTGAACTCACCAAGGAGACATGTCAGTTGAAATGATGCTCAGTAAATACTAGGGTAATAGGAAGTTCTTCTTTAATAAGAATGACTTCACTCTGGCTTACTGTTGGCAAAAGGGACTTTTTTTTCCCCAGGAATCAGTTCTGCCCATGGCACTGCCCTGGGAGCCACATAGGTGCAAGCTGCCCAAGCAGCCCCTTGTTTCAGATCTCCATGTTTCTGTTTTCCCTTCCATCTGCCATGTCATCCTTGTGTGACTCTGACTAACTCTCAGCTGCCATGTTGAGGAGTTCTATCTATGTATGAGTCCCAATATCCAAACACAGGCTACAGCCCTCACAATGGTAGCAAGCACGAGGGCAAAAAGATTGAGCGGATAGGGATAGTCATCTGAAGGACAGTTATCTGAAACAGATTATTTGAAACATGGCAATCATGCTGTGGAGCCCACGATGAAACTCTTTTGCTGGTCAGAGTGGACCCCTGATATTAACCATCCTTCCCCCCCAAAAAAACCATTGGTCAGATAGGTACTAATCTCTCTCAAAAAAAAAAAAAACAAAAAAACCCTCAGGATTCAGTAAAACGATGGCTTACTCAGCTTGGCTAAACAAAACAGTACAGGATATTGGTTTCTGATCCATGAGTGAAAATGCAGGATTTTGAAAATCCATAAATGGATAAGCAGCAAGAAAATAAATCTTAACTATTTCATGAGTCAATCAAACACAATTCATCTGTTTATGGTTTTGCCATTGTGGGTGTGAAATCTCATTAAACACTTGAGATAATAACAACAACAACAACAACTCTTTTCTTATGTACTACCCAAACACACTCATTAGTAATCTTGTATATATGAATCTGCTATTCAAATCATTCATGCTCCTATCACCTCCTTGGAGTAGCAAAAGTCCTTGCCCCTTGACTTGGCTTTGGCTCTATGACTTGCTTTGGCCAATGGCATACAAGCTGAAGAGACAGTGGAGCAGCCCTCGACTTAAGCCTAACAAAGCCCTGCATATTTCCAATTGTCCTCTTATACCCTGCACTTGCCATAGAAGCAGGCCTCCTGGGTAGCTGTTTCTTCACACTCAACCAAGAATTAAGGCATGTGTAATAAAACCACCCAGCTGACCTGCAGACCCATAAACAAGACTAAACAATAGTGTTTTAAGCCATCAGATTTGGGAATGACCTATTTTATCATGATGTTGTCAACAGTTGAATGACATACCTAATTATTTCCCCATATGAACAAGTAAGAGGTACTTACCATCATCAATTCCAGGCCAGCCCATGAAGTGGGCAGAAATCTGTCTCTCATCTTTCCCATACTCATTCTTGGCTATTAAAGTGTAGTCCCCATTGTTCATGTGAGTAGGATTATCCAGCTGGAGGCAGCCGTGGTACTCCGTATGATTGGTAACATGTATTTTAGTACAGATGTATTTGGACTCATTCAATATTGCCCCATTATAGAACCACTGAAGCGCTGGTTTGGGGTTGCCTTTCACAGTGAATGGAATGCACCAGTGGTGGTCTGAGGTTGGAGATTCGAGAAATGTGATAGTTGGTGCAACTAAATTGAAAAAAAGAGAGTTAATAGCATCAGAAAGCTTAGAAATCTCCCCATCTCCAGATTTCTGTGTCATCAATAAGAGATTTTATTCAACCATTGTTCAGTTTAAGGAAACACATGAGCAGTCAGTCTGGAACCTATTGGTATTTTGTGTTATCATCAAGGTTGATTTAACTTCCTACAGAGAGCTTCAGAGAAACTCCTTGCTCTGCTCTACTCATGACCCATACATCACAGTCATTTTTCAAAGCTAATTAGTAGACATGAGAACCAGCTCCAAACAGATCTGAGAGATTTCTGAGAGTGGAAAGGGTTCACTTGGCATCCTTGTTGGTTTCTAATATATTTGCCTTGGTATTATGTAGATTCATTACCAAAAATAATGAGGGGCACTGTTTTCATAATACTTCTTCCCTCAATAATCCAAATAACAACAAACTTTGGAAACTTTGGAAATTGTACAGGGAGCCTTGATCTGGCATGACTTTTCTAAGACTGATCAAACAGGTCAAAGAACTGATTGTAGCTATTGATAATGATATAGATCTCCTTACACCTAGTCCAGTAGCTTTCATACCCTGCTTCTTGGTTATACATGTTGATCAAATGAAACAGGGAAAATTTAAGGCATCAAAACATATTGACATACTCTATGTGGGGTCCCAGCAATGGTTATCTCAGTTGTTAATGTTCTTTATTGTTAATTTCCTCTACTCTTTATCTAAATTTTGGCAGGTAAGGTCAGCTCTTCAGACTGTGATGTCCATGGCTATTTACCTACATTGAGAAAGAATCAAGTCCAAGTGTTTAAACAGATATCTGATAATCTGACGTCACCCTCTCGGTGCTTAAGTAAATCCTACCCAAGAAGAAACAAATCTGAAAAAGAACCTAGTTCACTTTCATCCCCTATAGAAAGATTTCCTGTTAACAATGGCACTCCTCACAACTAAGCATATGTGCAGATGTGTACTGTAATGGGTCCCCTCACTACAGGAAGTGCAATATTATGTGACATAAATTTGCAAAATCTGATCTTTCTTTTTAACAGATATTTCTCACAGACCTTAAAATAGTCCTTGGAAAGCAAAATAGCTTTTAATGGGTTATTCCTTCTATAAAATTTCAGTTTAAACATAATTGAGGGCCTATATCCATTATGTTACAAAATGTGCATGCACATATTTATAGATATGTGTTACAACCAGTCACAAGGACCACAGGTTAGGGAAGGTCCACACTTATTACTTCATCCCCCATACCCAGGGCCCACTTATTCCTTGCTCAAATGAGTTTTCAGTGAGGTGCTGACATTAGGACATAAAGTTGAAAACTGGTTACATATGAACGGGAATAACATCGACTTCAAGCTTCCGGATAGCCCAAAATGATTAAAAAATTTAAGTCCAGTACCCGCTAGTCATAGTTGTAGTTGTAAGACTGACAAAAAATCATGGTTGGTGATTTCAATTATTCACTCCAACAAACACACACTGAATGTGTGTTCTGAGTGTTAACCAGTATATTAATACCAGCTATAGCCATGTATCTGATCCTGTGTAATTTGTACACATACTTAAACATGCACAGTCATTTTTTTCTCATTCAAATCCTAATCCAGAATAAAACCTCATTAATTTATACTGTGAAGCTCAGAATTTGCAATGATGTGAAGCATCTATGTAATTTTCACTGACTAAATTTTGATATTGAATGTCATAATATAAAATTTTAAGATAAATATTATATGATTATAATATTAGAAAATAATGCACACATGCTTAACTAGAAGCACTGAAATCTTGTGCCTTATCTACAACACACACATATTTGAAAAGAAATCTTTTATGCAGGTGGTAATAATTCTCAATAATATAAATAGGTCTCCTACCATACCACAAGAAATTTGATATCAAATTAATGAGGTTTTATAGTTTCAATGGCACAATTAGGTGTTTGTGAATGGTCAGCAAATGGTTTAAGCATCACTATTATAAAGATTCATATTGATTTTATAGAGGAAAAGTTTTAAGAAACTAGCTTTATCAGAATTTAAACTGAAACACTAGCAAGAGAATTATCAACTCTATTTGAGACAACAGAAGACATAAGGCATCACACTCAAGGTCAATAAAGAAGCTCAAAAGAAAGACAATGCGTAAGCAAGAGATATAAAGCAGAAAAGAGGCTGAAAGAGGTGAAAAAGGCGGACAACATTTCATAGTTAAGTATGCACAAAACACTGCAATATACTCATTTAAACAAACTTAAGAAGCACCCAGAGCTCCCCAGAAACAAATGTAGGAAAATCCACAATCATTTGCTATTAAAAATACATGCTGGTCTGATTACGTACAATGCACAGTGAGGTTGACAGAATCTTGATCTTCTCCTACAAGATTTTCTGCCACACAAGAGATTTGCTTTCCACTGTCATCAGATGAAATATTAGTTATCCTTAAGGAGCCCTGTGTGTGGCTTGTTTCATTCTACAAATGAATTAACACAAAAATAACCTTGATTAGGACTGATCTCAAAGTGGCATGATTTGGGATCTCTTCCCCTAACTAGAGAAATACAGTAATATAAAATTAGAAAAGTTTCCCTTCCTGAATTAGACTTAGACTCAGGTAAAGAGAAGTTGTTCTATTTCTCCAGGTGTCGATTGCTTAATGCAAGGAATTTCCTTAATCCTTGAATTCCCACCTATCTTTCTTCAAAAGAAATGACCACAAGGATAGTCATACTCTTTGCTAGAGATGACACTTAAGAGCTCACTAAGGATATAAAGACACTCCAGACTATATAACTAAAATGAAAATCTGCATTAGTCCTTGCTTTTTAAGATTATATGGAACATAAGCATGCATCAAAAAATCATCATAAATTTCTGTAAGTGGGTCTATAAAATAGCAGATGGTCATCACTAGGTTTAATACAATATTAGGCTCCAAAACAGTCTTATCTCTCTCATAATCAATCCTTACCATATGTTTGGAGACCAGATTTCCCACATCCCAGTACATATTAGGAAGTGGATCGCCTGCCACAATACAAGACAATGTGATAGACTTTCCTTCCTCCACAGTGAGGTTTGGTGCAGCCAAATTTGCGGATGGCAGCCCTTTGGAACAAGAAGAGCAAACAGAAATATTGACAAGTTGTTAAATGCAATATCAAAATCATAGCAATAAATTGAGAATTCTTTATGGCTTAAAATCAATCATTTACTTTCTGAGACTAAAAAAGTGTCAAACTAATAAAATTTATAGAAGTAATTTGGACAAAGAGTGTGCAGTAACAAGATTTGAAAACAAATTTTTATATTTCTGAAAAATACCTCTCTAGAAAAGCATTTTATTAAAACAAAAAGAGCCCCACTAGTTTATAGTGCTATGTTCTACCTCTTCTCTGTTCTTCAGTTATTAATCTAGTTTCTTTTGCACATAAATAAGCACTGTACCTATGAGCCAACATCTAAACACATTTATTTCCTCCACTTCCTCCTATCTATACTTTCATAGTCAAAAACCCAAGAGCAAGATGCATCTGTATATTTTGCATAAATCTGTTTCTTACATTAAGTAACTCTCATAGATCTAACCCATGCTCAGCCCTACAGTTTAAGAGTCAGGCTATTGAAAAAAATGTAGTTTCAAAGCATTTTTCAAAGATGAAATTTGAATTATCATGGTGTTAGGATATCTCAAAGCTATATAAATCATAATTTTCACAGTTAAAATCGGTCATCCTATTTACAATATGATGGAAACAATTATATGAAACCTTATTACATGAAATGTATCTTTTGAGGGGAGAAAACCCTAAAAATGTATTTATTATCAGATAGAATTTTGAACCTTATAAACATTTTCTAACATTTTAGCAGAGCATCCTCTTCCTACTCTTAGCTTTCAAAAGGTTGGTGTTTTTCTTTTTAACTCATGCTGCTACCACTTCATCAGAGTATCATACCTATTAGGAATGTGCATTGCTTTAAACTACATAGAAATCATAGTATTTTTTCTTTATTAAATTATTTACTTATTCTAATTTGTTATACATGATGGAAGAATGCAATTCATTTCATATGACAGTATACAGCACAATTTTTCAAGTCACTGGTTGTATACAAAGTATTTTCACACCATTCGTGTCTTCATACATGTACTTAGGGTAATGATATCTTACTCTTTCCACAGTCATTCCTACTCCCTTGCACACCCCCTTCCCCTCCCTCCCCTTTGCCCTATCTAAAGTTCCTCCATTCCTCTCATGCTCCCCCCACCACCCCATAATCACCATTATGAGTCAGCATCCTCATACCAAAGAAAACATTTGGCCTTTGTTTTTTTGGGATTGGCTAACTTCACTTAGCATTATATTCTCCAGCTCCATCCATTTACCTACAAATGCCATGATTTTATTCTCTTTTAATGCTGACTAATGTTCCATTGTGTATATATACCAAAGTTTTCCTATTCATTCATATTGAAGGGCATTTGGGTTGGTTCCACAGTTTAGCTATTGTGAATTGTGTTGTTATAAACATTGATATGGCTGTGTCCCTGTACTATGCTGTTTTTAAGTCCTTTGGGTATAAACAAAGGAGTGAGATAGCTAGGTCAAATGGTGGTTCCATTCCAAGTTTTCCAAGGAATCTCCATACTGCCTTCCATATTGGCTGTACCAATTTGCAGTCCCACCCGCAATGTATAAGTGTGCCATTTCCCGAATATCTTCACCAACACTTATTGTTTGTATTCTTCATAGCTGCCATTCTGACTAGAATGAGATGAAATCTTAGTTTTAATTGCATTTCCCTAATTGCTAGAGATGTTGAACATTTTCTCATATGTTTGTTGACTAATTGTATATCCTCTTCTGAGAAGTGTGTGTTCAGTTCCTTGGCCCATTTATTGATTGGGTTATTTTTTACATGAAGGCAGGTCTCAGAGGGAGTAGCAATATGACAGAACTTGACAATCAAACCAATCCCTTCCTTTGTACCAGAAACAGCTAAAGGCTGTATTTACCAACAACTGGGCCCCATGGGGCATTTGATACCATTAACTCAGAAGCAACGTGAAGTTCAGAAAAGACATTTCATCTTCAACAGCTATTAAACTCTAATTAGCCACCCATAATCTGAACTTCACTTTGCTATGCACAATCCCTTCACAATGATGTAGCTCTTACTAGGCAAAATCATGTTCTTTATTATTGAAACCAGTCTAGAACAAGATTTGTACGTGCATTGTCTCATGGCATTCCCACCATTGGGAGGAGACAGCCCAACAAGATCTGGCTTTCATGTACTGAAACCTCTTTGGAACTCTTTCTTCCTGTAAGCATTCAAGACAGAGTAATGTGTTGTCTTTCCCAAGTTTCCAAAGAGGCCCATAATACCTGAGCTACACAGGACATAACCATTTTCAAGAGAAAGCACAGTAATGGGCCTACAACCCTAAATCTGGACCATGCTAACCGTGTGGACTTGGGTGAATCATATTTTCCTCTCTGAATGTATTTCTTCATGACTTCTGTGACAATTAACCTATTTACTAAGGAGCATGCCCAAGCACTAAAGTCAATGGTATGATTTGGGTAACATCTTAAAAATGTTTTATTTTCTTTTTTATCCAAAAATGTAGTCACATAGTTTGAAAAATATACGATTCTACAGCATTTGTTAGGAAAAAATATTCAAACTACTATGTGAAAAGCAGCAGTCCTACCTCACCCAAAGGGTACTATCTTCTGCTTCCAGAGGTGTTCATTTCATCTCTTTGAATTTCTTCTTCTGGTATTGATCCCCACCTCACTAAATATCATGCTTATCTGGGTTGCTACTTCTTAGTTTCTCTGTTTTCATGCTATCTACTGACTTCTCATCATAGAGGAATAGAATTAGACTATGTTCACAGAGAATACCAGCCTTCCCCACATGTCTACACCAGACTCAGCACGATCTTGTCTTCACATCTTTCCTCCTGCTAACACTGTAACACTGTCCAGATGAAAAGATAGACTTTATTATGAGTTTCTAAGATTTACTGATAGCTGAATCATCTAAAATATAATAATTACTGTATTTCATTAAACTTAAGACAGTATTAATGAGAGGATGCAATACTGTTATATGTGCCACTAAGAAAGAAAGAAAAAAAAAGATGCCAATTCAACAATGAGACAATGCTTTGTCACCACTTAGAACACCTATTCTTCTGAATAGTCCATCTAATTTTCTAGTTCTTTCTATCTAATTTTTCATCTTGTGTCTGTTACATTTAAAGGGAGATCACTTCAAGTATATATTTCAGACATTCCTGTAATTATTTTCATTCATCTAATCATCCTTTTAATCTCCAAGACTCTTTTTCTTTCCTGAATATTCTCTTTACATAGCACCTAGTTTTGTTCCATGTGTGCAAACTCTCTTCTGATCTCAGATATTAATAATGATTTTTAAATTTTTTTCTTCAGTCCATACCAACTTTGTTTCTTACAATCTCTTTGCTTCCTCTCTTTGATTATTTTGTGTTTGTCTTTCATATTATAAGCTTCCCTCAAATATTTACTGACCCTTGGATGTTCATATATCTTTAGGAAAAAATGCATATTTATTAACAGTCAGATTCACTGAAGAGAAATGTTATTGGTCTCTTTATTGAGTACAACCTGATGTCAATATCATTAAACTATTTTGAGGAAGGACTAGTCAAATTATTTGGTCCACTGGAAGAATTACTGAGCATTCTTCAAAGGTATATCTTGGATGTGAAAGAAGAGTGGAAATATCAAAATCAATATGTAAATCCATCATTTTCTTTATGATTCCCACACCTCAACTCTAGATGAAGTTCCTCCAAGTCTTTGTTTTATCCTCTTTGAAGAACAATTCTCCAATCTGCTATTGAGAAAGGAGGAGTTCAGACACCTGGACCATATGGAACAAAAATTTGTTTAACTACTTCTCAATAGACTTTCAGCCAATATCCAGTATGTGGCCAATATAGGCTTCTATGTATTCTCCTACTTCCTGAGGCTGTAGCAATTCTGCAATACAAATCAAGTTTCCCCTTGGCTTTCTTCATTGCCAACTTGGTAATCAGCATGCTCAGCCTTCAAGTAATTTATTACTTATTCCTCTGCTTTTTTGACTTCTAACTTTTTGTGCTTTGTTGACACTCCTATTTTCTTGGTACCTCTATAGTTATCTTCTGACTCTAGATAAACTAGGCAATAGTGCCTCTTTCCAAGGTATCTTGCCATCTACTACCCAGCTACCCCCAATGCAGTTTGCATCTCAAATACAAAGCTCTGGGACACCATCATAATATATATAACATTTTATATTCTGAAAAGAGAATGATTAAAATAAAGAGATTTAAACAGGATATGATATGTCTTAGTTTTCGTTATAAAATTTAAAGTAGCTTTTTTCTTGGAGCTTAAGCTTATATGATTAATAGCTCTAAAAATTTTTAGTTACAGTAGTAGTAATACTAGCATTTATTGGGCATTCACTGAACCAGATACTCTTGTCTAGTACTTTAGTGTTTTACTGAATCCTTGCAACTAATCTTGAAGGCAAGTATTTTGTCCTTACTTAATGAAACACTTGAGTTTTGGAAAAACGAAATATATCTTCTAGAGTTGCCCAAGCACATTTTGAACTGAGATATAAACCCAAAGTTCAGCGTCTTTACCACCATAGTTCACCACCTCCAGGGGCTGCACACATCCGTCTTTGTACAGACTTACTGCATATCCATGATCTTAGAATTTGGTTCATTTAAAAAAATAATTATGTATCTATTTCATGAAGAAAATGAATCTCTTTATTTATAGAGAAATTGTATCACCCTGTCATAGCCGTTTCCAAAGGAATCTGTGCAAAATTGGCCAAGTCTAGATCTTTTAAATGTAAAGTCTTCCACAAATGAGTAAGCATCTGACTCACGTTAATTCTACAGCATTAATATGCTGGCCAAAGATTCAATAATGGAAAAAACAATCTGTACTTGAAATATCACTTGAGGTTTAATTAGCACAATAAAAATGAATTGGGAAGTATGAATAGCCAAGGCGGTATAAACCATTTGCCAGGCACTATTTCCT